AGAAGGAGAAGGAGAAGGAGAAGGAGAAGGAGAAGGAGAAGGAGAAGAGGAAAGAAAGAAAGAAAAAAAAATCAATGGGGAATCCTGTGGAAGATGAGGAGAAAGGACTGCAGGAGCCAGAGGAGTAGAGGATACCTTGAGAACAAGGCCCAGAGAATCAACTAAACAGGGCTCATAGGGCTTCACAGAGACTGAAGGGCAATCATGGAGCCTGCATGTTTTGCTAGGTTCTGTGCATATGTATGTTGTGGTTGTTCAGCTTGAGGGTTTTGTGGGACTCCTGACAGTGGGAGTGGAAGGCTGTCTCTGACTCGTCGCTTGCTCTTGAGATCCTTTTCCTCCCACTGCGCTGCCTTTTTCAGCCTCCACATGAGGGTTTGTGCCTGGTCTTACTGCTTCTTGTTATGCTTTGTTTGGTTGATAGTCCTGGGAGGCCTGCTTTTTCCTGAGGGGAGGTGGAAGAACAAGTGAATCTGGGTGTGAGGGGAGGTGGTTGTGGGGGGATTAGGAAGAGTGGAGGGAGAGGAGGCTGTGGTCAGGATGTATTGTGTTGCGGGAGTATCTTCCACTGCCTCAGCCAATAGCCGCTAAAATACCAGCCCACTGGGGCGTGGTATATTTCTCTTTTAAAAAGACCCACAGATCCCGGATCAGGCCTCTTGGTTCCGGCGCTTGGTCCCGGCTCCTGCTCCTGGCTCCTGCTCCAGTGACTATTGGCTGAGGCAGCGGAAGGTACTCCCGCAACAGTATTGAACGAGAGAAGAATAAATAAAGGGATAAATAAAAGGGGAGAGACCTAAAAATAAGGTGTCTAGTGTGCTAATGTTTGGACTGAAAGACAAGCAGAGAATGCTGTAGCTGGGGAGTGTGCGGACTGTGGAAGGAAGAACAGTCCTCTTGGGGCACCTTGGTGATCGTGCATGCTTCATTCAAAAATAAAATTAAATCAATGAGGAGCGAGGAACAAACTGCAAACAAGCTACAGAGGTGAAGCAGAACCTCACACGAGTAACTAGGGAGTGAGTGCAGCCTGGACACCTGGGGATAGGTGGGGTCTTGGTTCCTCCTCCTGTTGCTGTGATGAGATCTCTGGTAAAGGCTCCTTAAGGGATAAACTTTTATTCTGGCGCACACTTTAAGGGTATAGTCCACCTTGTGGGGGAAGTCACAGTGGGCCATGCTGCACATTTGGGAAGCAAAGTGACGAATGCCTGGCAGCATCTGCTTGTTCTCTCTCCATCTTATCCCATCTGGGATCTCCTGCCAGGGAACGACCTTACAGAATATACACACGATTACTCGTCAATAAAAATATCTGAAAAGAAAACCCTTTCTCTATTCTGATTTGATGTTTCTCTTTCCTTGACTCCTTCCCTCTTCCTCCCAGCAGTACTTGGGGACTGCATTTGAGGCATCTTCCACTATGAGGGACTTAATCCACTATAGTCATTCTGTAAGGAAAAATGAAACCCTGGTGGAGTTTGGTCATTTTTTTAACTTTTACTTTCACTTATTCCAATGCAGGGTGTGAGTAAATGCTCAATGGTTACTTCTAGTTGGGCTTAGTATTTTAACTGGCAAACTTAAAACCTAACATTTTTCTATAACGACATAGGCAACAAGCAGGTTAGCAAATGAAGCCCTTCTAGGGCAACGAAACCCTCAGAGACCCCACGGAACATGTTGAGGGGGTGCTGGAATGTCTGGGAGCATGCTCACACCCTCGCTGTCACAGTAAGACACCATGTCAATGTGTGCCCTAAGTGTCAGTGGCGTGCAGAGATTCCCAGTTACCTCCCCTTCGCAGTTCAGTGCCTTAGCTTCTGTGCTAGGACAATTTAGAGAAAGCACAGAGTGATTGGCTGGTCCATTCACTGCACAACGAGGGGGCAGAAAACAACGGAATGCAATATTGTTGACCAGACTCAAAGATTCTTTTGGGGGCCGGGTTAGTTGCTTTATATTGGTTATCAAACTCAACCAAACTTACGCTGGGGTCATTCCAATCGGTCTATGACAACTCAAAACTTTAGTTGATCACTTTGGGGGCATGGAAAAGTGGCTGCTCAGACAGTAAACATGGCCCAGCAGAGAGATGGAAACACAGCATTTGACCATCTGCTGGACACTGCAGGCCCTTCACTACTGAAGGTTTCATTGGTTTTGTGTTTTATGTGTGAATGACCTTAGGAAAGAGATGTTGGTACTACTAAACAACCTTGTGTCAATCTACTAGACGGATGGCCTCTCCATTAAACATGAAGACCAGATAGTGAGCCACGGTGTGTGTGTGTGTGTGTGTGTGTGTGTGTGTGTGTGTGTGTGTGTTTGCCAGAAAGTACCAATATCCAGATTTGATAGGCTTCAAGGAAGGGTAATTTGTTCCAGTCTTCCCAGTAGATCCAGAGGCTTGTGTGTTTTGCCTCCTTGATGAAGAAAGGAGTTAGTACAAGGGGTTCCTTAATACAGATTTCAACTTTTATCCAGACTTTTCAAGTTCCATAACTGAGCATGACCAGGGCTTAGCAGTAAACTAAGTGTTGCGATCACACAGTTCCCACCATGAGAATGAGAGGAAACCAGGCAATTCCTTCTAGTTTTGTTCAGAGGCAAACAAAAGTGAGCTTTTACATTCTCTGCTATTGGTAAATCTCCTTCAGGCCACTAGAAACTCCCACTGTCACAGCCTTTACAAGGGCACACACACTCTGAGAGAACTACCCACAGGAAAGAGTCTCCCACATCCTGCACCCAGGCTACCGCCACAGCAAAAACATCTTCACTATCCAAGGAAGAAGGCGAGCATGATTTTCCATTGTTGCTGGAAAAAAAAAAGCCACAAGCTGTTTTTCTACTTAGCAGCTAAGTCCAGCTCAAGGGCAAGATGTTGGGCACCCAGACAGATTGAGAGCCCATACAGCCTCGCTGCCACTACCAGTACTGTGGTTACCTGAGATGGTGACAGCGATAAGCATAGGATGCAGATTAGCACCCCAATCATTTTTGTAACTTTTCAGGTACAGATGGTCAGGGTTGGTTAGCTTTGTGAAGGGGGCATCCAACACATTTCTTGAATCTTTCCATGGCGGACCCTGATGTTCTAACTACCGCACAGATCATGATCTGGAAAAATCCATGTCTGGGGAAACACTAGTTTCCCACTACTGTATTGACAGAATCATCTAAATAGGCTTAGGATAAGGGCACAGACCCAAAAGAGTCACATGTTGTCTTCCACACGTGGCACGTGACTGGGGCTATTATTTTCTGTAAGGCACAAGAAATTCCTGGTGTGTGAAACTCGTGAGCAGGATCTGAAAGCATCCTGGCCTCTCACTTTAGAAAAGATGACCACGTGTAGTTGGTCCTCCCACCTCTCATGCCAAAGTAACAGGAAAACCTGATGGGGCTGCACAGCTATTTCTGCATCCGTGGTCTAGCCAGAGAGCTCACATGGTACTCATCTCCCTGCTTCTCACGAAGACCCCTCAACTCTGAGTAGGCCACAGACAACATGGTACCGCAGACCCTTCTGCTGACCATCCTGGTGGGCCCCTTTCTGGACCCCTGTGACTTGCATTTGCCATTTCAGGGTCATACGAATGAACCATCCCTCTGCTGACTGCAGCCTGTAGTAGAGCATTTGTCTTGGGGCAAGCCGGAGGGAGGTGCTGGGATCAGCTGGAAACACTAACTGTTCATGCAAGAGTGATTTACCCATCACTATTCTTGGTATTCATGAACCATAGTCTTGTTATAGGAAACAATAGTCAAAACACTGATGATGCTTTTGATTTTGAGTGAGGCTGACAGTGCTCAAATTTCGTGTTTAGAGTGTAGACTTTTCTATAAGATATGCAATTGCATATACATTTGTGAATCAAACAAAAGTTCTAATGAATTGAATTTAAAATAATCTAAGATAGTTACAGTCATTGTACTTACTAGTAAATATTTCCCCTCCCAGTGATTTTTGTTTCTTTAACTGGACTTGGGAGCTTGACTGTGCTTTTTGATCTTCCAGTTTAATGTTCTTATCTGATACTTCACTTTGAACTATATTGAGAGAGAAATTTCACCACTTATTAGAAAAAAAAACAGATTTGAAAAGCATCCAGATTTCAAATTGATACATGCATAGTCATATTTCATCATCTTGTAAACGTAGAATGATCAGGATGCTAAGACATGCTGAAGACTGGTAAGCAGCTGTAATGTACATTAAGGTTCCATTGCTCTGTATGTTGAGGTATTTAATGCCTTATATTAGCCTCTGACTCCCTCAGGTTCTTTGCACTTTATACTAAGATCTAGTCATAGACGCACTGATGAAAACACACATTTCCCAGGCATTATTTACCACTGAGAAGTAATTAAGACCATCCGTGTTTTCCAGCACAGGAAGTTGGTCGAAGGACTCCTATGCTCAGTAGGCACTGAATGAAAAGGATATGTGCCTGTACATACGCAGAGGATAAACATGGTGTGGATGACTGCTTGCTTCTGAGCCATTCCCCCTCTATGGTCAAAGACGTCCCCTAGAGTCTTCCTAGTGGATGCGGCCCTGACTAATACAAGTGCAGTTTCTTCTCCTCCCAGTAAATTCTGAAACAAATCCATCAGCCCTGACAAATTTTACGCCAACGCTTGACTCCAGCCTAATAAACAAAAAGTAAAAATAAGACTACGAGATGGCCAGTGTTGTTCTGGCCTGCTTGGGGAAACGGTGAGCCCGGCTCAGAGCTAAAGTTTGAGGGGTGGGGGAACGCCTTTCGCTCATGTCAGTTGGGTGCTAATATACAGGTGATGCCCACTCCCTGAGTCACTGGCATGCTGAACCCCTGGCATGTTGAGCCCCTGGTATGCGGAACCACTGACATGCTCAGCCCCTGGCATGAGGAACCACTGACATGCTCAGCCCCTGGCATGAGGAACCACTGACATGCTGAGCCACTGGCATGCTAAACCGCTGACATACTGAGCCCCTGGCATGCTGAACCACTGACATGCTGAACCACTGACATGCTGAGTCACTGGCATTCTGAGCCACTGGCATGCTGAGCCCCTGGCATGTTGAGCCCCTGGCATGCTGAACCACTGGCATGCTGAGCCACTGGTGTGTGAATGCTGGAGAAGCATGACAGCATCTGGGTTCTGCTGAGAGGGTCTCTGCAAGCCCTACACTCTTCACTGTCATAGCAGCCAGTATCGATTGGGTCCTTGTCAGACACAAAGTGGCCAAGATACAAAATTTCTATAAATTCTATGTTCATGTGCATATTGATGAACAAAGAGAAGGATTTGATGAGACTAACGCTTTAAATTTGAAGTTAACTATAACTTTTACACTTACCACTTTCCGGTTTGAAAAATTTTAGCTTCTTTGCCTGGATCTCAAATTTCAACTCGTTGTCTTGATGTTCAAAACTTTTGTCTGGCACTTCATGAGAGACTGCATGAAGAAACGCATTTTATCTCTCATTAGAACATAGATCCATTTTCGGTTCTCTAGATTTCAAAGTTGTAATAATAGTGTAGCAGGATTTTCTCTCATTTTGATAGTTGTAGATACATTATCACAGGATCCAATGCAACAAGAAAATTGTGAAGCTATTCTTAGAGGTTGTGTGTTGAAGCGCGACTCTACACGTCTAGGTGTCTACTCTCTGTTCATCTCCAACTGCCTCGGGTGATGTGTTCTTTAGGCAACAGCGTATTCATAGAAATAGGAAGGAAGATGCACATGTTCAATGTTCAGAAAGGAAAAAACCTGCCATGGAGAAATCTTGCATGCTCTCTTTGTGTTTAGGAAGAGGAATAACTAGAAAATGGAGAAAGAGCAATGGTTATTTGTTTACATTTGTGGTATTGAGGTTAAACCTGGAGCCTTGTTGTCTGTAAGGCAAGCTCTGAACAACAAAGCTACAATGCCCAGCCTTCTTTTTGCTTTTTACTTTGAGACAAGGTCAGGGTTGCCTAGGGAGGCCTTGAAGTCTTCCTCTTGCTGCTCCCTACATGATAGACATCCAAGCCAGCACTGCCTGCCTAGCTGAGATGGCTGTCTTTTCAAAACCAGCCCAGGACTGAGAGAAGAGATGGCGATGGTTACCTACAAAGTGAGGGGCCAGAATTAGGGAAGGAAGGAGACCCCTTTAAGTGTATTTTTCTAAGTAGATTTTTACTTTGTGTGTGTGTGGGGAGTTCAGGTTCTATATATTCGGGGGAGAAAATTTTATCAATAAGTACATAAGGCAGAATGAAAACAGAAAATGAAATTAAGGTATTATAGGAAAACAAAAACAATGACTCAATGATATAATATTGGACACAAACCTGCACTGTGGAGTCGGATTGGCAGATATGAAATAAACCTAAAGGATTTTAGGATATATAATACACATTAGTTTTTTGAGACAGGGTTTCTCTGTAGCTTTGGAGCCTGTCCTGGAACTAGTTCTTGTAGACCAGGCTGGCCTCGAACTCACAGAGGTCCACCTGCCTGCCTCTGCCTCCTGAGTGTTGGGATTAAAGGCGTACACCACAGCTTCCCGGCTAGGCTATATTATTGTTCCAGAGGCATGTGCTCAGCAATTCCAAACTGTCTGGTAATGGGGGTGGGGCATCTTGGGTTCTAGCTGTCTTGGCCTCAGAAACTACAAAACCAAAAAGGCCTTTGGTTTAGTCTGCTGGGGCTGAGACACCCACCATGCGCGCACGCCCATCTGCTGCTTTCTGTGCTAATGTGTCTGTCCCTTGTAAAGAGCTATTGGGTAAAGGAAATCTAAGCAGTTTTTTTTAATGATGCAGTAAGTCATGGTTAACTGTTACCTTGAGATAGGTTTGTTGTTTTAAAAGCCCAGCTGAAATACTGGCACTTGTCTCTGTCAACATTTCTGAACATAGAGCAGTTACCATTAAGACAGCATTGTTTGAGTGGAGGACAAAGGGGCCTAACAGTGATATGGTGTGGGACAATGGTCTGTATTCTGTCAATTATATTTTAAATAAACGCTGATTGGCCAGTAGCCAGGCAGGAAATATAGGTGGGACAATCAGACAGGAAGTAGAGGCAGGTCAATGAGAACAGGTAATTCTGGGAAGAAGGAAGTCCTAGTCTGCAGTCCTGACCCAGCCACAGAAGCAGCAAGATGTGACTGCCTTGCAGAATAAGGTACCGAGCCACATGGCTAGCATAGACAAGAATAATAGACTAATATAAGTTATAAGAGTTAATAAGAAGCCTGAGCTAATGGACCAATCGATTTATAACTAATGAAGATCTCTGTGTGATTTCTTTGGGACTTAACAACTGCGGGAACTGGGCAGGACAGAAAACTCAGTCATCAGTGATAAGTGGACACCCTTCCTGAATGACCAAGTAAGGGTTCCTGCCAAAAGAATCTCTGGCCCTAGTTACTTGACAATCTTATCTGAAGATACTTTTATTTCAAGTCCTCACTTGCCTTCAGTCTCAGGATCTCAAGCCGTGGTCCTCAACTTTCCTAATGTTGCAACCCTTTAATACACCTCCTCATGTTGTGGGAAGCTCCCTCCCCCAACTATGAAATTAGTTTTGTTGCTGCTTTATAACTGCAATTTTACTACTCTTATGAATTACAGTGTAAAAATTCTTTGGAGATAGTGATTTGACATACATCCCACAGGTTGAGAACCACTGTTCTCGGGGAACCTGCCATAAAAGAGGTCCAGCTGTGGCTAGGGTCCCTCAGGTATCTGCAGGCATCTCCTTCATGTGGATGTGTTTCTTGAGACCCACCTGTGAGGTTACCAGAGAGGCTTCTTCAGTTCAGGGGCCGTGAACAAGAGGATGCCTGGATGTCCTAACGAGGCCTCCTATGTGCTCCTTAGGCTCTTTGGCTCCCTGATTGTATTTTACTCGCTCATCTCAATAGTGTCTGTATTCGTGACTGCAGTCTATGGCAGGGGACCATAGTCCAGGTCAGAGACACCACAACCTCTAAGGAACTCTGTGTGTGTGTGTGTGTGTGTGTGTGTGTGTGTGTGTGTTGCAGTGTAACCAGGGGGTGAGATGATGTTCTCATGTTCTGCTTCTGAGGCCACCAGGAAAGAACAACCCTGGTCAAATTCTGCTATGGGCATACCATTTTGGGCTAACATGAGACTCCAAAGACACACCAGAACTCTGAAGAGGACACTGCTTTGGGAATTTATGAGACTCAAGCAGTTGGGACTCAATGGTAGCATATTCTGTGACCATTAAATAATATTAGAGCCAGAACTTCTATTTGGGAGGACGAGGGAGGGGAACTTAAGTTGGAGGCCACCCTGAGCTATGTAATTCTATTATTAATTCTTTCTTGTTAAGAAGTTAACATTTTAGTGGAGGGGAAAGGTTTCAGTGAATGTGTGCTTATATGGATATTCATGAAGCAAAGTGAAAGACCAACCAGAGAGACTAATGGAGAGAAACTACCGTGTGTGTGTGTGTGTGTGTGTGTGTGTGTGTGTGTGTGTTGCATACTCACCAGGGAGTCTTTCTCTTTTGTAAATTCTCTGTTTCTTTGTTTGCTCGTCTCCTTTTGATACCGAACCTTGACTCTCAGGGCTGAGTGCTCCATCATCTGCTTCATGAGCTGCACAAAACAGGTGCATTTAGTTCACTGCATGAAGACAAGCATGCTCGAAACTGTGTCTGGTGGCACGTGCCTAGAATCCCAGTACTCAGGAAGTGGGTACTGGGGGATTCAAGGTCATCTTTGGCTACATAGCCAGTTGAAGACCAGCCTGGGATAGATGAGACTTTGTCTCCAAAAATACTTAAGTTTGAAATCCTAAGTTCAAATTTCTGACAAGTTTGCTACAACACTGTCCCTTGTATTTATTACTTCTTTTTTAAAAAAAAAATAAAGAATGCAAGTGTCTGCAGTTCAGTCACCATTGATCTGCAGAGATGCAGAGACCTGAATAGTTTCTTCTGCCACAGAGGAAGGAGTCTTGTTAACTCAGTGTATGAAAGTGGCTGCTTCTGCTAGAAGACTGTCATAGCCCATGGCAGTCCTGGGGGAGGGTACTACCTAATAAGAAATTCATGCTCTGCTGACTCTTATACACCGTTACTGGTCCATTAATACAGATAAGGTGTGTAAGACCATATATTTAAATGAAATTCTTTGAAAAAGTTGGTAGGAAAATAGAGTCTCATTCTTGCTTAGCTAACTGCCAAACTTTGGTGTCTTGGTCCCAATACAAAATAAGTGGTGTTATTTGTGGGCCTCTTCTGCTCTCATTCCCATCAGTGGGATGCCACCAGAAGTAACTGCTGAGTCTCCGGAGCAGACCTCATCTTATGAGTGAGTCTGAACCTACAAATAGCCGTGGGGGCCATCCAAGAGGCCCCATGGCTGCTGGCCTCTATCCTCATCAACCCCTCTAAACTACATCTAACTTACAATTCCAGCAACAATTTTGCTCCACAGTGGAAGCGTAGGGAATGAGCTCACTGCACAGGTTAGTGGAGTGAATTGGGTTTTACCAGCTTCCTGGACCTGGAGAACGGGAACACACATTGCTAGGCAGCCTGTAATCAAGTCTTTGAAATGACTACATTCACAATGACTGAAGAAAAACAATGTGTACCTTGGCTTTTGTTTATCAGTTATTGCATAGGTAAGTGCAGCATTCCCATAACACACAGTAAAATACAGATTCTTGAACCAAAGACAAGATTTTTGGATCTGATTAAGATAATTTTAGTATACATTGGCACAATGGTGTGCCTATGTAATTCCAGCATCCTGGAAGCTGAGGAAGGAAGGCCAGTCTCAGCTGGTCCCATTCTACAAAAACAAAAAAACAAAAGAGTAAAGTAATCTGTAGTTTTTATACTCACGAGCAAGTTCCTTTCCTTTAGAAGCATCTGGTTTCTTTGCTGAAACTTTGGCTTTTGCTGCCTCTTCATAGACCATCCTTTCTGATTCCTCCTCATGAGCTATATATAGAGAGAAACAGTTTGTGCACCCACCAGAAAAAATAGAACTATTTTAAAGCCTCTAGTTCATATATCAAACAAATTCCCAGTGTTATTCTGTGCTGTTTTCACAGGGTCATAAATAAATGACCAAAGCGATAGATCTGACAAGACATTGGTGGGGAGTTCAGGGACTGTCTCCTAAACTTTGTCATGTTATATTTTATGAGGACAATATAGTTAGTATTTACTCTTCTCACTTTTGGACATAATTTTTATGCATATTGGTGTGTGTCGGTGCCTCCATTGCCAGAAGTATTGTATACTCTGGATCTCAAGTTACAAGTACTTGTGAGCTGCTAGATCGGGGAACTGGGAAATGGTTTCAGGCCCTGCAGAAGAGCTGGAAGCGCTCTGAAGCTGCAGGATCATCTCTCCAGCGCCTCTCCTTTCTTAAGCTGCTTTTATTTTACAGATCACATAGGTTTCAAAGGCAAAACAATAAAAATACATGTGTGGCTTTATTCATTATTTCATTGTAACTGAACATAAAAATATAAATGTTCAATCATGAAAATGAGTTTGAATAAGCATATTATATATCACTGTAAGACTAGTACATGTTAGATGCTATGGTCATGTACATGTTTTACCATGTACATTATGATAAAACAACTGTACACAGATCTGAAAATGGATTGAAAAAGGTCTCTATAATGGGAGAATATGCCTAGAGGAATGGGCTTGAACATTGCCTTTTAAACAGGAAGAAAGGTAAGCAATGAAGATAAGAGAAAAATCACACATAGTCATCTTTAACAACTGAAATATAAGAAGTATCAGAAAGTAGTACACATGCTTAACTACAAAATGGAACAGGGATGCCTTGGGAAGAAACTGTATTTCCCTAACTAAACTTTTCTTTCATGTCTTAGCTTAGGAATCTTGTGCATGTTCCCCACATTTCAAAACTAAAATTAAATTACAAACATAAGGGGACACTTTTTTTTTTAAATGTCACCCCCAGGAAAGTCACAAAACACTTTGTAAAGTCAGGTCATTGCACATGACCCAATCTGGCTATTAACTAGAAAATTATGAAATATTAAAAAGAAACTAAAGCCAATAGGCAGTGACTGGTTAGTAATGAACACAATGTAATAAATGATAATTAGTGCTTATACTTGGACATTAAGTGCAAAGCCCTTCTGGACATAATGTTTGGGGGCACAGTGAAGTCTTAAGGCAGCACACTGATGGCCTCTCTACAGGGATCTCAAGGCCCAGAGGGAAGTCAAATGATGCCCCAAAGGTGACACAGTGAGGACACATGGTTCCAGTCCCTACGCCAAATGGAAGCTCCATTACTCAGTTCTTGAGATGGTTTAAACTAAGAGACTGGATAGATACATGGGGATTGACATCACAGGTGCTGTCTCAGAAGCCTGTGGTCAGGCTGAAGATGGTCAGTGTGACCTGTTCATGAAATAGCTTGTCATATGCTACCCAATATTCCACGGGGCCATAGAAAACTCTAAGGATAACTGCCATCAAAGGGAAAGTCCCATCCTCAGAGGAAACACTGGGCCAGCGTTTCATTGATAACCTTATCTGAACATCAAATACTGCCCTAAGGACCCATATATGGCAACCAGGTGGACAATTATTGCCCACAAGGTGCAATTACCAAGAAGCCTGGGGAGGGTCTGGACATGTTTTGGAAGGGGTATGATGTCTCAATCTGAACATGGCCAACAGTTGGCCTTCTTTGCTCCAACAATTACAAAAGGGACCCGCTACCATGAGGTACCTCAGCACCCTGCACTGCCATTTCCCCAGGCGAAATCCTTAAGAACCACCCATCTCGTGTCAGGTGCTGTTCCCGTTGACCAGGGCTACCGTCAAGAAAGAGCTGGGGCTTTCCAACAGCGCACTACTGTCCTACTGGGGAACGCTGACACCCACTGCTGTTTGAGTTAAGATCTGCAGCCACATCTCTGCCTGCTTATCTGAGGTTGTGGCAGGGGTCGTTAGTACAAGGAAGAGACACTTTCCATAGTATTTTGTAAAATATATAATCTGTAGGAGGAGCACACACTTAAAAAGTCAGTTACTGGCCTGTTTCAGGGCCTTGGTTCATAGGAGCTTTATTCATGAAGTAACTACAGAATCAGAAATTACGCACAAAGGGTACAAACTCTTTGTCATTGTTCTCCAGTTATCTTAAGGTATTTTAGGACCAAATAAAGATTCCCATAAAATAGATCTCAAATTTTCATAAATAGAAAATGGGGTAATGAGTTTCATTCAAGGTAACATAATATCACAGATAATTCTCACACTTACTATATAATCTCTCAGTCTTAGAACTCTTTTGTTTTGGTTTTATGTCTGCTACTGAATCTTCGCTGCCAAACTTTTTATCTTGTTCTTCATAGTCATCTACATAAAAATACATTTAGTATAGTAAATAACAAGACAGATACCCACATTTCAAATTCATAAAATGAGTGTAACAACATTTTCCAAATTAACCAGATTACTATAATGTAAGGAAAAGGTTAAAGAGATCTAATGGATATTATCAAATTTGTACCCTTAATTTATACACATGTATTAAGTTTCTACCTTAGTGCCTAGCTATGCTCTGCTATTGTGTTTTTATGCTAATGCACATAAATAATAGGGCGGTGGCACTGTATCTGTACACAATGTACACAATTCTTGTAGCAATTACAATATAGCAAAAACCCAATGATGGGGGATAGGTTAAAAAAACTAGGGCACATACAATATTGTAAACTAAACATCTCTGTAAAACAATGTATAGGAATTCATTGAAGGTAATGTTAAGTGGAGAAAAAGAAGGAAAAGCATCGCTTATGTGTTAATAAGAAAGAAGGGCAGGGCATAGGGGAGAAGAAGAAGCAAAGAGACCCATCCTTATAAAAGAAAATACAGTAAAGGTATCAAAATCAATGCAGCACTTCTTATGGCTACCCATAAGAAGTGGTGGAGGAGACAAAAGTCTGGATGTTCTTTTAGGTGAATAAGACTTCCTACAACTTCCTTTAGAAACAGGTTGATTTCCCACATATTCCAGAAATTGAATAAAACCATCAAGTGCGATATGAAGAGAAAAGTTGAAACAGAACAAAGGAAAAATGAAAATTTAAATAAGTGGGTCTCCTGAGAGGGAGGGTCGAAAATGGTCCGAACAGTCAGCCAATATATGGGAAAAAGAGAGGGACAGACCACAAGCAAATCAAAAATCTCTCTGGATTCAAATAAGCAACCTCAATTCTCAGAAAATGATGAACAAAGAAAACAACCGCTTCCTTTTGCAATACGTAGGAGATTTGGCATTGCCGGCCTTCCATGCCATCATCAGGCCGCACCGAGCCCGCCTGACAGAGCATCCTGTGGACTGTAGCCTCCCTCAAGACCTTCAGGAGCTGTCTGGAAGCATACTGTCGGAAATGGAAAGCCAAAAGCAGCACTATTGGCCACTGATATGCGAGCAGAGCAAGCCAGTCACACTAAAGCTGGTCACCCCCTGGCTAGTCAAAGTGCTTGACTTTGGACGGAAACAAGACGGCACTAAGGAAGAGCAGGAAAGGAAAAGACGAATCCGGCAAACACAAGCCGGAATTTAAAGGCGCCGTCCAGGAGATCCGAAAGGACAATCAGTTCCTGGACAGGATTCAGCTCTCAGAAATCATGGAACATGATGCGGAAAGGAAGCGGAAGGTACAGCAGCCTTTGAACCCGAGGACCCACAAGAAGGTGAATGGAAGGCTCTGAAGAGGAAAAAGTTAAAAAAATAAATTGCATTGTAAACGTAAAACAAAACAAAACAAAACAAACAAACAAAAACTCAGAATGTGCCAAAACCTTGAACATGAGACAAAACAGTAAGTGCTTGAGAAAAACAGACAACACCTTCTGGATATTAATAGAAGCAATGATTTTTCTCGATAAGACTCCAAGATCACAGTAAGCAAAGCAAAGCAAAGCAAAGCTGACGTGTGGGGATCCTAGCAAACTCACTAACCTTATAGAAAAGAGAACAACCACAGAGTAAACCAGCAGCCTACACAAACGGAGAAAACCCTTGACAGCTGTCAGCTAGTAGCCAAGATATGTCAAAATGTAAAAGGCCCTAACCTAACACCAGAAATTAAGGAATGCAATTAAAAATGGCTACCATAGACACACTTTCAAAGAAATGCAAATAGTCAATACATGAACAAACTATGTAACACTAGCTCTCAGGGAAATTCAAGTTGAAGACACAATCCAGACCAAGACAGAACGGTTATGATAAAACAGATATTGCCGAGGATGTGAAGGAAAAGAACCCTTGTGTGCTGCTGCTGGGAATAAGCTAGCACAGAAAGACAAGTATCACAAATGGTGCATGTTATTTTGTGGGTGGAAACTAAGAAAAAAATGACTTACAAGTGGAAGAGGGGTTTCTGTGGGCTGGGGAGGAGTCAGTGCTAGGGGACAAGGGTAGAAGAAAGTTTGATGGAGATTAGTACATCTAAAACTATAATGTGATGATGATATAACACAAATAAAAATGAAGAAAATAAGAGACCATATTAGAATATCTGACTTTACAACAGCAACAATATTAAAACAGCAATAATATTAAAATTGTGTTCTTGCAGTGTTGTGTGTGTAATTTTGAATAAATCAAACAAATTATGAAAATTATAACAGTGATATTACCAAGAGAATACAGGGTCAATCTGCTACTGCACATAGACATGGATAACTTTTTATTTCTATGGGTGTTCCCTCTTTGAAAAGTTTAAGAGTGTGTGCATGCATGTGTATGTATTTGTGTGTGCATGCATGTGTAAGTATTTGTGTGTGCATGAACGTGTAGGTATTTGTGTGTGCATGTATGTGTATGTATTTGTGTGTGCATGCATGTGTATGTATTTGTGTGCACATGGTGGAAACACTATATTTAAATACAACCTAGCTGTAAACTGTTTGCCTCAAAAGAAAGTATATAAAAAGGACATGTCATGAACGAACTGACAAACAAATCAGGCTGGAAGTGCTCAACAGGAGAGACAGCCTATGCCGCCTGAGGCCTTGGGTTCAGTAATCCCCTCCCCAAAGGATAAATACAACATGGTTCTATCAATGTTAGAAAGAGAAAAAAGATGAGTTCTTCAGAAATATGGGGATCTATATATGGTAGATACCAATAACGTAAGAAGTCTGAACAGTGGAGAGAATGGGAGCTTCTAAAAGAGCAACAGGATGCGCGTTCACTGTGCTCAGAACAAACACTACAGCTATTTTCACTGTAGCATTTCTCATCACTCTTAACTCAGGCGCAATATTTCTATCAAAGCTGCCCCCACACTTAGGGCTACAAAGACAAAGTCTTCTAAAGCTCAGAATTGAAGCCATACATGTTATATAAATACTAAGTTCATAATATATAGTAATCCAGACAAAAAGAATTTCATACTTCATGACAATAAACTAATAAAGGAACTGCCTGAACTACAAACATTATGCTACTTTTCAGATACACAGGTAGGTGATACGTTCTCTAGTGTTCCTAAAGTATTAAGATAAGATTATCAAAAATTAAAAGTTTAAAATATTTGTCATTAAATGCCTAAGTAAAAAAATGTGGTTATAAAACTATACAGCCTTAAGGACAGTTATAGAAACAAATTTAAAAATATCAAGACAGAGAGAATATGCTGTATTTAAACTTCAAAATAAGGAGTAATTATATTTAATGTGAGTATGAGTACTAATTAAAAGACAGCCAATTGTACTTAAAAATATATACCATTATCATTATAAGCATCATAAAAGGCATGTGAGGGAGATTACACTGCTAAGATGGAAAATGAGGCATCACAAAAACATCAGATTAAAAAAAACAGTAGAACTTCACGAACAGAAAAAATAATAGTTTTTAAGTCAAGCATATTTCTACTGAAGTGATAAGACAGTGTCTTTCATCAGGACTAAAGTAAGTTTCTGTATGATGGGGTCAGTAGAAAAATTAACAACTGCTATAGTAACCACAGGTAAATCATTAATAAAGAACAGCAACTAGGAATAAATTCCTTACAAACTAAAAAGCTGACAAAACTGTACATGTAGCTATGAGGTGAGAGACAAAGTTATCCTGAATTCCACTGAAACCAGATTAACAATATTTTAATAACTACTTACTGATCACATTCTCGTATCTGGTGGCTTCAAGATTCTCAATTTCAGATTGCGTTCTTGAAATTAAACTCAAGTGTTCAGGTGGTTTTGCAGTGATAAAAAGTGCTGAAAAAAGACAGGGTTATGATGAGGCTTCTGAGCAGGCAACACCCAAGCCTGTTGTGCAAGGCAACACAAAGAGGATGCAGAGCTGAGTTCACCAACTATGCGGCCGAAAGGGACAGGCGAGCTGACGAAGGAACATGTGAGGAGCTTCCCCATGGGTGGAGAGCAAGCTGCAGAGTGGTCACTGACCGTACAAATGACAGCCAGAAGGTGCCAAAGCTTGCATTTTAGTTCTCCAGGTATCTTAAAGTATGCTGCATATTTAGATGAGAAAGTTCTAAGTATGAATATGGGAAAAGGAATGGCAGGGATGTGAGTATGTGTGATAGCAATGGGAGGGAAAGAGGGGGGAGGGTGGAGGAGGGAGTAGTAATCAGAATACTATCATCTATCTATCATCTATCTATCTATCTATCTATCTATCTATCTATCTATCTATCTATCTATCTATC